AAAAAAAAAAAAAAGTGCAAGTAACAACGTCAGTAAAAGAAAAAAATTGACCAGAATATGAATATATAAAAAAGAAAAGAGCGAAAAAATTACGGAATCATCTGATTATAAAAAAAATTTTTTTTGTTAATTGCTATTTATTCATATGATGTATCGATCAGATGTTCTACAAAATCCGATAATGTAAAGGTGTACGAGAAAGTGTCGATCATATCGCATTGGCTAATATAACCAAAAGAGAGTATCAAAAAACTCATGTTTCTGCAACTAACTGGTCTGAAACTAACGCTGCTATTGCTGTAAAAAATTAAAGTTGAATTTGCTGAGATATTAGAAGCATATTATAACAAATTTCGCTTGACAACAGCTGATTCTGTGTTAGCAGCTTGTTTAATAGGTAGAAGTTAACAACTAAGCGAAATTTTCATCAATATATACTGATGATGCAGTATAACGGTGGTTACCAAGTACACATGTTAAGATATTTGTAAATAACAAAGGCTAAAAGTTTCATATAAAGGTCGAATAGCACAATAACAGTGGCGTCTGCACCACAGACGAACAATGAATGCAAAGTATGTCAAACAAAAAGTTCAGAATTCAGTTTCATGCCACCAAAACTGCTGACCAATAAGATGGTGAAGTATCCAAAACCATTAATGCTGTTCAACTTACTCAGCCGTACGATCCTGAAAAATAACACTTTTTGGACAAAGAGTTTAACATAGTGTTCTTCAGCAACATTCCTATACAGCCAAAAAGGAACGTATTGAAAAGAAATGAAGTTAAATGAAGCAAAAAATGAGTGTTCTGACAAAACTGATGCTAGAGCATATTTCCAGAAAAAACGCTTACATTCTTTAAATCACCCAATTAAAAGAATTAAAAAAATGATTGTCGAAAATGACAATTTGTAAAAACAAATCCGGTTAAATTTTTCTTTTTCTTAGAAAACAAATGTAGAAATTAATATTGTTTAAAAATTGAACGGTCCAAATGATTTGGAACTGTTACAACGCCTGACGTCCATTCAGGCCATATGCTTTCTTTCTCCTTTTTCAATTTTCCAAAAATTTTCAATAACAGTTAAAGATTGAGATAAGAAATTTTTAAAAAAATTTAATAAAACAAGAATATTTTTTACAGCAATTTACAGTATTGATATTATGTAATAAAATTAGCTGTTGAATACTACAAAAGAAAAATAAATGTTGTGGCAGTTAAAGACGATAAGATGACGGTGACAACAACTGAAGAAGTAACAGCAGCAAAAACAGTAGCAACTATAGCAACGGCAGCAGCATCGGCAAAAACAACAACAACAACAACGACAACAACGGCAACAACAACAGTAACAGTAGCAGCAGCAATGGCAGCAACAAAAATAAAAGCAACAATAACGAGAGGAGGACAATACAAGAAGCACTTCAGCAAAATTGAATAATCCAAAAATTGCAGCTTTTCAGATTAGTTTAGTTACACAGCTGCAGCTGTTACTGATACTGCGGTTGCTGCCGCTACTGCTACTGCTGCTGTTGTCACCGTTGATGTTTGTTTAATTTAGCTAAAAGGGGGGTGGGGGAAAAAAAAACAAATTATGGTCGACAGATCACTGTAATCATTACACTTCCATTAACCTTAATTTTTTTCTCTTTGGAAAATAACTTATTTTTTTAGACAATTAAAAATAACTTCAAAAAAAAAAGTTTTACTTTTTCATCTTAATCTATAACAGAAAGAAGCTAAAAGAAATCATTCGGCTTTGAAGAAAGATAATAAGTTGGAAAATTGAAATCTGTTTTCTAAAATATCGTTTGCTGTGTCACAGTTATAAATAAGATTAGTTGCAGCAACCAAATCTCTGTGCTTTACGTCGACTGCTATAATACATTTAATTTTACAAAATAGATAAATAAATATAAAAATTACTAAAGTATTTGTTTAAGAGTAAGCAGAAAAGCAATTTAAAACTAAAAACAATCTGCTTCTAAAGCGAAAACTTCTTTTATTTCCAGTCTAAAGCAAACAAAACTTTTTCAAAACTATGAAACAACCTTTTTTGTATATGCAAAATCAATGAATATCATCAGTACTATATAATGTTTCTGCAAACAATAAAAATGAAAGATAATATTGGAAAAAAAAACAATTTCCTCTTTTTTTAATAAAGAAATTAACTAATTGCAAAGAGATGTTTAACAACAGTTTACTTGCTGATTACAGACAACTGAACGTCTGTACTGCAGTTGTGCAACAAAAATGTAAGGATGTTCAACACAAACTACAATCTTTTTTGGTGTTTAATAATATTTGTTGCTTCTTTACTACTAACCACTGCATTCAGTCTTCCAGATGCTAAGGTTATAGCCATGCAGAACAGGTGCGCTACAAATTCACACGAAATGCCTAGTAGCTGATACGATTTGATTCAGTTTTACCAACGACACAGATACCTAAGCGGGGACAACGCATTTATGCGGCACTGAACAGGTATATGCTGGCAGACAAGTAACACCAACAGCCGACCGCCCAATTTACCACCAGAACAATCTCAATCATTTGTAAAAACAGGAAATATACCTCTTATTAATTCGGCTGCTTAATCATCATCCTAAAACTAGACTCACCCGCTACACCATAGTACCGCACACGAGAACATACTTCACTGAACCAGTACATAAGAAATGAAATTAGTGCCAAGCTAACTCCCACCTCCAAAATCACATAACACAATGATCCTGCAAAACCCTCCCACGTACATCCCCCATCTCACAAGACACTACCGATATCATCCGTCTAACTCGCCTCCAATCACTTGCGAAACAGAGAAGTATGATATTATTTTATTTAACAGACTAAATACAAGTCATGTAACGATAAATACAGAAATATAATAAAAATAAATGAATAAATAATACAAAACCGCCAAACAAGCATTTGATGCTAGCAACAGTTCAGTGTAATAAATGCAAAACATCAGTAATCTTGTACTGCTTTGAGAAATGCGATATAAAGTAACCACATATGTTCAACAATGTTCAACAACATCAAGTTAAAGTATATCGCATCCACAGAATAGTTCCAAACAACTTCGCGTTGTTCGTGGCCACCGAATCGGTGAAATGAATAAGACATTTTTTTTATCAAGTAGCAATCGCTTTCATTATTATATCCTTGATGTCCTGAACCTGTCGTTCCAAGCTGCTAACTCTAGCAACTAATTCTGCATTCTTCCGCTTCAACTCGACTTCTTCTTCCTTCAACATTTTAAACTTGTTTTGTCGCTTCAACCTTGATTTCTGCGATGCTATGTTGTTCCTGTCACGTTTAGCTCTATATTCCGCAGATTCTTTATAAGCATTTGATAATGATGTGCGATGGAACGAAGAATCACAGGCACCTACGGGCTCGACTGTAGGTGCAGGAATAAATTCACTTTGATCACAATTGGACAAAACACAACCTGTAACAAAAGTGCAATGTGACGCAGACACCCAAACCTCTACAGTAAGTACCAAAGCACTCCGAACTCTGAAGTAATCGTTTCTAATACGAATCGGGTTATCTTCGAGTTCTTAAAGTCATCAATGAAAACTAAACTACAAATTAATACAAAGCAGAAGGAAACTTACTGGAATCTGGATCTAAATATGGCTCTAGATTAGTATAGGTGTAGTTGTACGGTGGAGATGCAGACACTTTAGTTCCGCCAAACTTCTTCATCTCTGTTTCTTCAACTGGTTTAAAAAACTCGTCCAAAATTGAGAGATCCTGGAAAAACTATAAGCATTATCAACAGCCAAAAGAAAAAGCAAAAGCCAGAAAACCCGATAACAGCTTAAACCTAAGTGTAACTTCACATACCCAGCATAAAAGCCTAACCTTTAACAAAGGCCTGCGCCAACGCAGCAGAAAATTAAGTAACGAGCAACGCACCCAAGCATTTTAAAGAATGACTAACTCAGCTGGGAAGTGAAACTTAAAATGGTCTATTGGAGCAATATTGCGCAATACCAAGTAACAGAGATCATATGTGCACCATGCTTTACTAACAAAACGACACCTAAACCCCGCCCCTCACTCAAACCACTTTGAATCAAAAATGTACCCAGTGCGCCTCTCGCATGAACAAAACCCGACAAAACGTAATCAGCATCACTTCAACTAACCTATATACACACGCAAAAAAAACCACCAAGAAGACTTTGGAAACTTCTAAAGCGCCTTGCAAAAACGCAAAAGGAACGAACTATCCAAACAATAAATGACGAACCAAATCAGTAGATACCACTTGCTCCGAAGTCGATGGAACATCGTAAGCATGGTCAAGTTGTACGGTAGTTGAGTTTTCAAACTGATCTTCACGAATAATGGAACCGAACAGTGAATCAGAAGAACTGTCAGTTTTTTCAGGGGCGTTCAGGTACCGGTCTAATTCAGCTATATCAATCGAAGACTCTTCCAGCACCAAAACTGGGTCAAATGAAACATTAGAGTCGTTTGAAGTAGACTGGGTCTGCTGGCCATTCGTATTGTCAGTCGTATAAGAACGGTACTGATCAATACCGTCAAAAATAATGTCATCGACGTCAGGACAGTTAACAGACGAATCGCTGAGTCCTTCGACGTTTGATTCATTATTTATGACATTTCCTAACTGCTGCTGAGCATCGAATGAGGCAATGCTATCGGAGCACAAATCATTGCAACATACTTGAGAGCTTGAAGACGGCTGAAGATTTGCAAAGCAAGAATTATCTCTAGATTGTTGGTTCGACCACGATGGCCTATCATCACATAAACAATCAATGGAAAGTTCGTTAGAACGAAGAAAGTCATGTAGCTCAAAGTTCGGAGACTCATAACTGTGGTAAAACTCGTTGTCCGTCGCGGGACAAGGGACTTGCTGTTCTGACCCGCTTCCTGCAGAGAAAAGAATTTCACTTATTAACTAAAAAGAAAAACTAGCAATTTCTACTGAAAACCAAAAAATAGTTCTAAATTCAAAAACTTTTTGGAATAAATTACCTGAATGGACGGCAACTGCTGTGCGATAAACAGGCAAAATATGACTGTCTCGGAACTGACCGCAGAGAGCTAAATTTTCCTTGAGAAGAAAGCTTGGATGCTTCTTTTCCTTTGGAATGCTTCGACAAAGCTTTTCGTGCAAAACTTGGCAACGATGATCCGTACGAGCTCTGATAAATTTAACCAGGTAAAACATAACTCAAAAAAGTCCATCTATACGAGCTGCTAGGAATCAAGCTGTATTGAAAGAACCGAAGTTGCAGCAAATATTGAAAATCTTACCGAATTAACTTTAAGGGAGTTGCGCTTTTCTGTACAATAAGTACCGCATATGTTCCCGGAGAACCGACGTCTTTCGTTAAGCAATACTGTCTTCGCTTCAGACGTTTGCCCGAAGTCAAGGAAGCACAAGTTTCGCCAGTCCCCTTCAAGGGCATCTTCCGAAAGGTGGCCTTTCTCGCCACCTTCGTAGCTCCAAGAGGGGCTATTGCACTGGGAGACAAACATTTGTTGTTCAACGACTGCGACCATTCTCGAGTACTACTGGAGTATCGATTAGTGGTCCCTGGAATTTCGGTGCTTCTGACGCTCCTAGCGCGTCAGGGAATTTACTAAAATATCTTTCTTAGAAGATATAAAAGCAACAAAACAAAAATAGAAAAAGGTAACCAAAGGGCACCATAAAGTTTAAAGAAATCTTGGTGGCTATAAAACAATTTGCGCTCACGCCTTACGTCTTTCCAGTAATTTTTGGTGTGAACCTCCTACTTAAGTAAAAGCGGAACTAAAAATATACTGCATGTTTCAGGCAACATCACGAGGCCAGAAGCAAATGAGCATCTCAAGAGCTGACAAAAGGGAAAGCTGACTAGACCCTAATGAGTTATTTAGATACTAATAAAAACCACTCGATTATTTAATTACGAGACTCCAACAAATGACAATTTACCTGACGACGTTTACCGCCGCCTACGCGCTTCTACGGTAAGTGAACGACTACTTCGATCTGAGCGGTACCTTTGACCACTATAAAAATGATAACTTTCAATGAACATACACTGGAAAAGTTACGACTTCACACAGTCTGGCTTCATAAGCGCAGAAAAACACCAACGCTCAACAAAAAAACTGAGGAAATGCAGATGAACTTGAAAAAACTTTTACACCGTTATAGAATACAGTTCAAAAGCAAAGCAAAAAATAAAACGCTGCCTACATAAACGTGATAATGCACTACTATAACAAAGCAACAACAGCGAACCTAAATTAGCATGAATGTGCCACCACTATGATTTCCGCAAGAAAACATATTTGAAACCCTACTCAGTTTATCGGCTTCCTACCTGAGTTCGAAAAAAAAAACCAATGCCATCGGTCCTATTTGTAGCTTACTTTACCAAATCCCTGTGCAAAGAATTTAACCAACGATATAAACGAACAGGACCTGGCTCACCAACAAACCACTCACCAAGACTCCCAACAACACTACTGACTAGGATTGCACAACGAACATGCAACAAACGAATACAATCAGAAGACAGATTTGGTGATGAGCATCAGTATGAATGTATTTCTCTGGCAACCAAAACGTTGGATACGAACAAAGCAACTGCAGCTCCCTCAACCGCCCAGCGCCGATACCGAAAAACTACTGGGAGACTAGGCTGTAATAAAGTCCATTCCTAACGTCGCTAGCAAAACGCACTGAAAATGTACCGCCCTTTACGGGCAAAAAAAAACCAATCAGTGCAGCAAAGTGCCTTTATTTTTTTAACGATGCGTAATGTTAACCGCACGCGTAATTCTATTGCACAATACTGAGCAATAGTGAGCAACTAGTCCCTGTGAACCTTTCAGTGGTGACGTCATTTTGTTTTCAGTCACTGGTGACTCATATGGGTTAATTCCGGAGCTGCACAGCGTTAATGTCTCTGTGACGCGTGTTGGATGGGTAATGAGGTTGTCGGGTTCTGTTCGCTGATTTCATTGATGCTGCCGCAGTTTGATACTGAAGTGGGCGACACAGACATGTACTAAAATAGCCAGAATAATCTTAGTAGAAAGAAATTTTTTGTTAATTAGTGGTAATTTGAAGCGAAAAAAAAGATTTATTAATGGACGGGTGATGAGCAATCATTTAGTTCAGTTAGGCCAAATAATAGTGTAAAGAATGTTGAGTGCGGAGTTTGTTTGAACACGTTCTATTCGCGTATCAACACGTTTTGCAGAATATCGATTTGGAAAACAAATTGGAGAAAAAAAGATTTTTTTCCCCCTCAATTTTTTTCCTGATATTAACAGCTATTTGATCTGGCTAAGCTAAAACAAATATTTCTGAAAATAATAATAAACAACCTTCAAAAGTCTTCAGATTTTTCCGCCTCATCAACGATTCGTATATTGATTTGGATGACTTATTACTGACTGTTTGCTTGTTTCTTTATCTTGTACGAAATAAGGCATAACTGTTTTTGTTTGAATAAAAATTTGATTGGTTCAGTTTTGAGTATCAATGTGACAAATTTCTGTCGTTATTGGATGTCACAACGCTGAGAGAAACTTTTTTCTGCTGTACTGTACAGTTTCAAGTTTTAACAAGTTTTATTTATAAATATGAGATGATACATCCAGCGGCCAATACAGTCAACAAACCAACAGTAACAATAAATCCACGTACAATCAAATATAGATTACTGGATTTCAGTTCAGCAATAATTGCTTCAACCTGTGCTCGCGTATCTTCTGGAGATCCTGAGTTGTTGACCACATGGGTGGCTCGCTGTACTTTTTGTTCCAGCGGCATTTGTGCTGCTATTCGTTTTTGAGCTGTCTCTTCATCATAATTGTTCCGTTTTTGGAGTCTGGTCAGTTGTTGCTCTTTGGTGCTGAAATTTACCGCAGACACATTACATCTGGCTACTCAGTACACGTAAAATTTTGTTTAGAAATTAGTTATCAAAAAGTAAAATAAAAAACCTTAATTGGCATATTTCCTCTTATTTTGCCAAGCAGTCAAACAAATTATGCCGCATAATCTGTTATGCTTCTTCAAAGTTTTCAAAAGCAGCATAGGGTTTAGCATATCAACTTCAATTGCTACCCTTTTAGAGCAGTCATGCCACCCGTCATATACTGCAGTGCCGAGCAGATGTAACTTTTTTTTGATCCTGCACATATAACTGAGTAATCTGTAGTTCAATTTTCAATTTGTAGAGGACGTTGTCGACTGGCTGTTTAGGAAATCTGTTTCTTTGAGTAATGCACACTTAATTCTTTTTCCTTTCAACATTTCCCCACAATTTCTATAGCTCAGTTTGCTCAAATAAAAGGCAAATATCTTCTTGCCAATTTATTATATATAATTCAGTTTACATACTACCAAAGAAATCGGCAATATTTACAAGTCTGTGCAAATTTCAAGAGTTTTAAAGGTGAAATGAAAAATATTGCATTACTCTGTTCGCAGTGTGTCACCAAAAAACATACATTTTTTTTTTTTTCTAACTTCAAGTGCTTTTTTTGGGCGCAAAAAAAATGGATGTATACTTTGTTACGTGTTCCAACATTTACAAAGACCAGAACGAAAATTGAATGAGTATAATGATAAAAATTTTTTGGTGCAGTACGCTTCATTTCATTTGTCGCTTCAAACTTTATTTTCAAAGAAATAAAATAAATGACGATTTTCATTTCCTCTGAATAGCCTTCGCATTCTCACTCTTATAGTTTCACATTTGTGTTATCAGCCACATAGCCGTGTTTCCACTGCCGCCGGAAAATGAGATTGTTTGGAATTTGTACGACCTCGTCCAGTGTCCCTACGAGCTCCCATGTGGTCTAGTGGTTAAGATTCGTGGCTTTCACCCACGCGGCCCGGGTTCGATTCCCGGCATGGGAAGTTCGGGACTGCTCACCGTCACTTTTTGCAGTATAATAACCTCTCGTTGTACACAGGTACGAATTAACACGACAAACGCTGTTTACCGCTTCTCATATAACAAGCTTTTCTTCCTTCCTCCCTCTCACCTGTTATTCCTTCTGTTTGACAATTTAACGATTGAATCCTGTTTCACTATATGCAGCTGCCAATCAAGAATTGACAATGGTCCTTTTCTTAACCAGTGGAATCGTATCACGAGAAAAAAAAAGGAAAAGTTATCATAATCACTCACCATGTTACAACAATGATTTTCTGCAAAATTTTTTCATAGCCTGATTCGAACAACAATGGAAGATCAAGAAGGACAAATCGTGCACCAGAGCAAAAATGTTTCCATATTTGTGCTTTAATTTCTTTGCGTATCAATGGATGAGTAATACTGTTTACTTTCTTTCTAACCTGGAAAACTGAAATTTTTTTTTGGAAAAAACAAACATACTGGGACTTTTACAGCGAAGAAGGTTCAAGCAAAACGCACAGCCAATAAATGCTAATGGGATAGACAAATAGCATCCATTTAACTGTCGATTATTTCGCTAAAACTGTGTAAAAACTCTACAGAATAAACGGGAAACTGATATCCCACACAAACTTATACAGAAGAAATTCTAACTCTTCTGTTTGCTTTAACTTTTGCCATCGTGGCTCAGCATTATTGGTAAATGCTCTCGTCCAGAAATCAACAAAACCTAATAACTTTGTTACTGTCAGCCCTCACTCTAAACATTTCATCTATTAAAACAGTTTGTTTTATTCCAAAAACTCTTCTTTTTTTAACGACTAATTGCAGCTTCTCGTATTCCACAATAACCCAAAAGTCCTCCTTAGGGTCTCTGGACATAGAAAAAACCCAAAGATACCTTGACATCGTTTCATATTTATCAGTTTCCTTTGTAATTTTGTACACCTCCTATAGAATTCCAACACAGCGAATAATCGACAAGTGGATAACAGTTAGTGTCCCCCAGCCCACTAGCGATATGCACCCAATTAGAGAACTTACTGGCTGCGCACTGCAAGTGAGCCGCCTTCAATGTAGGAAACATCAGTCAAACTTTAGTTTATTGTAAAGAGGAAAAAATGGAGGGTTCTCAAATTTCCATAAATTACAAAAATTCTTTATTTCCCCTCATAAGTACTAAAAAAAAGGCAAGTGTACTGTTTGAAAAAAAACCCTCTGTACAAAAAAAGTGTCTATGAAATAAAACAGATGCGATAAAAAAAACTTAAGTACTATACAAAATTTTTTCCAGATAATAAAAATAATATGAGAATAAATTATATAAACCTCTGGATCTGAAAATACCATTTGACCAAGTTTTTCTCGTATAAGCACACCACCATTTTCATCGTCGAAAATACCCGAACCAAATTCCTCTCGAAGTTTTAAATATGCCGGTTTTCCGGGCTCCACAACTTAAAGTAATAGTCGTTATTGAACAATTAAAGTTCAAAAAAGAAAGTGGTAAAAACCCAAAGAGTTCTATCAGAAAATTCACAACAATTGAAGTTCGACACTGCTAGACTAAAGCAGTAACTTCACCAAGAACTAAATATTGGTCGATCAATAAAAACCCAAAAACGGTCTTTAACTTCACAATCGTTCACTGTTTAAAATTGCTGGAAAAAAGAATAAGGACGGTACTGACCTGAATAAGCAATTTTGTCTGCATCAATTATAGGAATATTGTTTTCCTGAAATATTGCTGAAACAGTGCTTTTGCCAGTAGCGATGCCACCGGTGAGACCAACCAGAAACATTCAGAATTTAAATGAAAGCAGTTGCAGAAATAATATCAACAATGCTCCTCCTGCTAGAAAAAAAAATAGGCAGTTTGTTGAAGGCCACCCTTCTGGTCAAATTCCAGTAATAACAGTGATTGTACAGAATTAATCAATACAATTTACGAACATTTTTGACTACAATAATCGTAGATTTTGATCGCATGATAAAATAAAGTTAATCAGGTCACAACGGAAGAATACTTAAAATTTTTAAAAAAAATTTTCAATTTTATCTGGTATGGTGACAGCTCTAGACAAAAATACAATAAATAAACCAGCTTGGCGCTGAGTACAAAATAAGTTCAAAAAATCAAAAATCTTTTCAACAAATTAAGCACATTTGCGTATTTAAATTCCTGAATTTCAATTACAAAAAATTTGCTGCCGCATTATGGTAGAATGGGACATATACACTTCAGACAATACTTTGCCGTTTTGCCGTACTCGTTATATATCTGATCATATCACCTAACAATGCCAAATTTTTGTTCACCCTAATAGGCACTCTGTTTCGACAACGTGATGCTGACAACTGCTTGGATTTACCGCAAACTGTTGTTTTTCTACCCTTTGCTACTGGGTAAAATTTCATTTTTCTTATGGCACTGGAATTGAGAAACTGCAACTTTGCGAAAGGTCAGTTATGCTTTGTTGCTAAGTGCCTCAGCAACCAGATCAGACTTTCAAAAAACTATGTCAGCTGGCTTTTTGACAAATATTTGTGAGTTGCCAACTCGAGACTTGTCAAGCGGAAAATTTTTGCTGCTACGAGTGTTCTCACGTTATAACGCAGGTACTTACGCTGTGCTGTTTTGCCGCTTTCATTTGTTCCCCTGGAACACATACTACTGCAACATCGACTGGCTGCTACGTCTATCCTTTACAATACAGGCTTGTTGCCGAGCTGTTGAAAATATTCAGAATCTTAGATCACTTTGTTCTTTAGACTTTGCAACACGTTTTGTACTTAGCGTTGTCTGCATCAACTTAACTCTCATTATGCATGATTGTAAAAGAGCGCTGCAAGCATAAAACAGAATTTCGTGTCCCATTAGAATTAAAACCACTACTTTCGCATTCAAAAAGCATATAAGCGAAAGAAGTACAGGGAAATGAAGGGAAGTTTGAAAGCCAGTCTGCCAGTGCATTCCAACAGTAACTTGGTAAAACTCATTTTGGAGAAATTCTAGCTGCCCAACACCGTCTGCTTCATTTCTTCGTCCATGATCCTCTGTGCAGCATCCCGAAGTAAACGTCGTTTTAATTTGACCGATTAGAACTTAATCATAAATAATCCACTATTTAGAATACGAAATGAACAACGGTTTTTTGTTGCCTCAACAAGTTAGGTCATTTTTATAACACTGGCACCAGTCCACTTACAGTTTTGTCATGCCAGAGCCTCCTGGCTTTCCAATCTTAAACAAATCAGTGACCATCCCATTACTTGTACTCCAACTAGCCAAACCGTCACTTTGCTCACTAAAACAGAACTCTCAGCCTTTGACCGTACCATATTCTTGAACTGTTCACTTCAGCCGGAAATTCACAGAAGAACTTAATCTCAAAATGCATCAATCAGTTGCTCTTCCAGTCCAGTCATTAAAATTATATCTATAGAGAACAAACGTCACTCCCGACTTCGATCTTCAGCTTCTTTCTTCCAAATTTTTTTGCGGAAATTCTACAAAAAAGCACCCCCAAATGATCGCGGAAAAGAGAAACATTTCAAGCAATGCAAAAAAGAGGGGTATAAATACAGGTTTCAAAAAAACAACATTTAATCTTAGTAGATTAATAATTTCACAAATTATCTTTTACATCGTCTACACTGCACAATTTCCCGACAATCAAGTCTGTTGCTTATCAACAACAGGTATTCAGTGCCTACATTTGCTGTGATACCAATAGTTTCATCCGATAGTTGACCAACTGATAACAGCAAGTACTTCTTTACCCGGGCCTCTTTATAACACTGAAGCCTTAACCGGTTGACAAACTACCGACAACAAATAAGCCTTTCAGCAACCATTTATAACCGCTGTACTTCAAACCAATCAGAAGTATACTAAGAGTATACTAGTTT